CCATTAAGGCCTCCATTGTGAGAAGCGGTGTCATAGTGATTGAGTCCCTTAGTCTGTTCCCGACTGGAAGGCCTCTTTTGTATTGTGCGATAGTGAGATTGGTGGGACAGTCCCTAATCTGGTTGAAGGTCTCCCAGTAGCAGCTATTGTAGGATTTTAATGACTCTTTTTCGCTCATGTCGATGGAGAGCAGTTGATCAATTTCCACCGGGGTTTTGGTGTTTGTTCTGAACCTTGTTATGAATGCCTCCGCCAATTGCGCCCAGGAGGCTATGCTGCATTCTGGAAGTTTTTCGAACCAAGTCAAGCCTAGGTCACCAGGCTTGATGGGAAGAGAATGCACATCAAAGCCTCGTTTCGTCGATATACCGCCATAACCTGGCGGAAGTGGCTTAGGTGCATGTAAGGGTCTGTCTTCCCTTCGTACGTGGTAAATTTAGGCTGGATGAAGCCTGAGGGTAATGATGCGTTCTCAATCGCCGGAACGAACGGCGAGCTATGTAGTATTGCCAACGTTTTATCTGTTGGTTCGTAGGCAAGGCGTGGTACTGGCATTCTAACCTCGATGCTTTCATGCGTCCGAGGAGCCAACCGCCGAAGGGCTGAAACTCTATGCGAGCCGCGTGCCCTAGCATCCTCCTTCTGTCACGCCCTTTCTTCAAGCACAGTCCGTAAATCGGACGATCTAGGCAACTCCGTTTGCCTGGATGATGTATGGTGCGTGTGTGAGGGCTGATAGGTACTTCTCTCTGTGTAAGACCTTAATGATCTCATTCTCTCAGAACTGGAGTAACGAGTTCTGGAAGTCCTTGATTGAGTGTCGCTTGTCCTGAGACTTCTACTTTCTGCTTGCGATGTCGTGGTATGCCTACTACGATCTTCTGAATGGGGAGGAGGCGCATTGCCTTTGCGCCCCTCTCCTGTCGCCACCCCTTTTCCCTTGATTTGGCGCTTCATGGCCTCCATGTCCGCCGCCATCTTCCTTATTAATTCATCTTGCTCCTTCACGCGGTTCTCCAGAACTTGAGGATCAATCCTCCGCCTTTGTCTGTCAGGACTTCGTGAACGAGAGTGACGGGGGTTGTTAGTCCGCCTCCTCCCCCTTGCATCCCTCCTGGGATTTTGTCGTTGAGGCTCCAAGTCCGCTATAGGAGGGATAGAAGGTAGGCCTTCGCGTCTTGCAACCCCTCTGGTGTTTGTTCGTCGATGGCTGATTGCGGCAAATCTTCGTTGTACGCCATTGCTTTTAAAGAGGAAAATCATGATCAAGAGGTTTTGTTCTAGTCTGATCTTCCCACAGACGGCGCCAATTGTACGGGCACGAAATATTCTTCCCGTGTAATCCTGTTGATCAAGTCTGCGCTCCTCCGTACGTTGTCACTTTACTCTTTGAAAACACAAACGTGAGCTAGCCGGCGGGTGTGTGCCGGATACCTCTCCGATGCCTAAGTCAGCAAAATAAACAAATAGACAAAAAACTCTATGTATTCGAGAATCAAAGTTGTGTGTTACCTCTCCATAGGTGATGCTTGTGAGCTTTTGTAGGTTCCGTGTGGCATAATCCTGGTAAGACTTTTACTCTTCCATGTAGAGTCCTCTTAGGATTCATACTCCTGAAAGATAATGCTTATCCTTCAACACCCCCTCACTGCTTAAACCAAGTGAGATGGTTTCAAACCGGTAGTATGGCAAAACGACCGGGATAACATAGCCATACTAAACGGGCCAAAACGATCGAACTCTAGTTAGCCCGGCTCTGTCTTCATAGCTTGTACCCCGGTTTCACCTATTGAGACTGAGCTAACTGTAGCAAGCTTGGACCGAGCTAACCAAAGCTAGGCTTACCGTGTGAAGTCGCCGTACCTCAGCTCCGAATGGCGTGACCGAACTAACTTCTTCTAATCGCGGTAATCGAACTAACCGTTGCTCTTTTTAGGACCAGACTAATTACCAAGCCTTTTTACTTAGTCTGGCGGCAAGAGCCTTACTTTGGACTGAGCTAACACTTGACCGTGGCCCATCTCCCAAGCCTCTTCATTACGGCCCAAAGAACAGCCCATTGCCCAGCTCGGCCTAATTTACATATAAATTACCCTTACATGCATCTAAGCCACTTTCGCCAGGTTATGGCGGTATATCGACGAAATGAGACTTTGATGTGCATCCTCTTCCCATCAAGCCTTGGTGACCTAGGCTTGACTTGGTTCGAAAAACTTCCAGAATGCAGCATAGCCTCCTGGGCGCAATTGGCGGAGGCATTCGTAACAAGGTTCAGAACAAACACCAAAACCCCGGTGGAAATTGATCAACTGCTCTCCATCGACATGGGCGAAAAAGAGTCATTAAAATCCTACAATAGCCGCTACTGGGAGACCTAATTTATGTATAAATTACCCTCTCGGGTCCATAGATTGGAGATTATTTAAATCACCACGGAATTAAGATTTTATTATTGAATGAGTCAAAAGACAAATAAAATTTTGTCACTATCTACAAAAATATATATATTATACGGGCACGAAATATTCTTCCCGTATAATCCTGTTGATCAAGTCTGCGCTCCTCCGTACAACACAAACGCGAGCTAGCCGGCGGATGTATGCCGGATACCTCTCCGATACCTAAGTCAGCAAAATAGACAAATACAAAAAACTCTGTGTATTCGAGAATCAAAGTTGTGTGTTACCTCTCCATAGGTGATACTTGTAAGCTTTTGTAGGTTCCGTATGGCATAATCCTGGTAAGACTTTTACTCTTCCATGTAGAGTCCTTTTAGGATTCATACTCCTGAAAGATAATGCTTATCCTTCAACACCCCCCTCACTGCTTAAACAAAAATTAGGATTGAGAATTGTGCAGCCGTAATTTTTGACTTTTGGTGAATAGTGATAACTTTTTTACTTTTTGAGTAATTTTTTGACTTTTTGACTTTTTGACAACTTGCCAAACTTCTACTCCTAATTATGTTCAATTTTTCATATAATGAAAGCACGCTTTGTTTATTTGAGCAATATTTTTTTTATATTTTCTGATATTTGATATAATGAAAAAAATTAAAAAAATTAGTGAAACACCCCTCGCCAACTTTGTATAGTAGGAGAGGGCCAAGTTGGTTTTTTTTTTATTTCTTATTTTTTAGCTAAGGTTCATCAACATTTTCTTCAACTTAATGAAATTTTGTCCGATTTAGAAAAATTTAAACCCGGCTTAAAGAAATTTCGAAATTTCTTAGTGAAAATTGAAATTTCTCGTAGTCAGGACGAAATTTCTCTGAATCGAGTAAAATTTATTTGAGTTGAATTTTCTCTGTAGACATGTTGAAAACCCTTAACTATTAAGAAAAATTGTGTGCTATTATCCTATAAAATTTTAATATAAGAGATCTTTAAAAAAAATCTCAAAAAAAAATTAACAAAAAATATTTTTCATATTAAACGGAAAACAAGTCTATTTAGATAGAAAATGGTTTTTACTTTTAAAAGGCGGTTTTTTTTTTAACGAACAACAATATTGTTAATGTCACCACACTACCACTATCAGGTCGACCACCACACCACCATTACTGTCACCATCACTGTCGCACCATCACACTACCACCCCCACATCCGCCATTGTTCTACTATCACTACTACCAAATTTTATGAGAAAAAAAAACCATAATTTTTTTTTATTATAAAATATTTTACACCAAAATAAACAAAGCGTTATTACAATATGAGCAAGGTTGAATTTGAGTTGTGATCGCAAAAAAAATTATTCTAGAAGTACATAAATAAATGGGGTTTATTGTTTAGCCACGTATGGTTGGTTGGGCTTGGTTAGGGGAGCTTTTATTTGTACACACTCAATCCACTTTGTGCACACACTTAATAATAATTATTTTTATTACAATTTTATTCTCAAGTGAAATTACTATCATGGACATCACACACAATTCAAATAAACACATTCAGAAGTTAAATGTCAAAAAAATAAAAAATAAAATCAAAATTCTACTGTCGAAAGAAATGATAATTTTCAGAATTCTACTTCTGAACAAGTTGTTTATTTTTGGAAAGGTACTTCCGAATAAATTATTTATTGAGAAGGATGTGTATAGAGCGTAATGGGTGTGTGCAAATAGAAGTTTCCCTTGGTTAGCAGTCCAATAGCTAAAAATTACTTTTATACCCACGTACCATTAACTCGCGTTCAAACTCAATCTTAGCATCTCTAATAGTGCATTAATTTTTTCATTAAATTTAAATATATATATTTTTTTGACATCAAGTGTTCTAATGGAAAGTTTTGGAATTTCATCAAATCACCAATTGATTGGCGCGGATGAAAGTTTTGGAATTTCATCAAATCACCAATTGATTGGCGCGGATGACTGATCGGTCAATCAACAAATATAATTTTTTTATAATTTTTTATCTTGAGATGGTCATCTGAAGGGATGATCGGAGGACATCAGGGGACATTCTGCAACAGCAATGAACAGTAATTTAATAAAAGACCCATTAATTTTTAATTTGATGAAAAAAATATGAAAATTTAATTTGATATCTATTTGATATAACAGTTAAAATAAAAAAAAGAGTAATTTTTTATTAAATTTAAATTTGATGAATTGGTAAATAACATTAGAGATGGTTTCAAACACACATCCAAAAAAACAAAAATGTGCCCTGTTTCGTCGAAAAAAAAAATAGTACATTGGACTTTCCTTTAGTTTGATGTTGGATTAATGGAGGCTTATTACGAGTTTCGTTTTAATAATCTGAATCGTTTGATATGTATAACTTATTTAGTATTATATATTTATAAAAAATTACATTAATTAGATATCGATATAATTTTTTATAAATATATAATACATATTAAGAATTTAAAATGATCTTAAAGTTACCAAAATAGAATCGATTTTGAATAGTATCCAACAACAATACTCTTCAGTCCGATGACGAAGAAGTGGGGAAAGTCAATCCAAAAAATAATAATTTAATACACTCACTCCCCAACCCCTCTCTCTCGTCGTGTCATAATAACGTTCTTCTTCAAACCAAATTTAGAGAGAGAAAGTAGAGAGAGATAGAGAGACAGAAATGGACCCTCACGGCGGCATCAGCAGCAGCAGAGCGGAGGCGGAGCGGTGGCTCCTCATCGCCGAGAAGCTCCTCGCCGGCCGTGACCTCATCGGAAGCAAGACATTCGCGATCCGAGCTAGAGAATCCGAGCCGAGACTCGAAGCCGCCGACCAAATCCTCGCCGTCGCCGACACTCTGATTGCCGGCGAGAAGCGGATCAACAACCAGCCTGACTGGTACGCGATCCTCCAACTCGCTCGACTCGTTCGCGACACCGGACTCATCACGACTCAGTATCGGCGACTCGCGATCCTCCTCAACCCTCAGCGAAATCACCTTCCCTACGCCGACGAAGCCTTCAAACTCGTCTGCGATGCCTGGTCAGTTCTCTTCAATTCTTCTACCAAAGCTCTCTACGATAACGAAATCACTTATTTCTCAAACCCTATCAATCGCTCACAAGAACACCATGAACCACCACCACCACCACAACCACAACCACACCGCCATTTCAAGGAACCTCAATCTCAACATCAGCACCAGAATCATGATCCAACACCAAGCCCTAGAATTATTAGTAATGCTAATAAGGAAAAAGTTGTGAGTGATGAAGGTGAATTGAATAACAAACAAGATGAGAGTTCGACATTTTGGACCGCTTGTCCCTATTGTTATAACATGTTTGAGTATGCTGGGGTTTACGAGGATTGCTCGCTTCGGTGCCAGAATTGCCAGAGGGCATTTCATGGTGGGAAGATTCAGTTACCTGCATCAATTATTGAGGGCAAAGAAAATTACTTTGGCTGTTGGGGGTTTTTTCCAATGGGGGTTTCTATGTCGAATTTGGAGAAAAACAAGGGTGGGCCTTCGGTTTGGTCTCCGTTTTCACCTATGTTCACTTGTCCTCAATTCACCGGGAAGAAAAAGAGGAATGTGAATGTTAGGAAGGGACCTTGGATTTATATTGAGGATGATGATGTTTTGGAACTCTCGGAATCAAGTGAGGATTCTGATGATGATGAATGGGGTAGTACTAAACGGAAGAAGAAAGCAAAAAAGATGAAGCAGAAGGGTTCAGCGAGTAAAAGTGGGAAAAAGCGAGGACGGAAGCCAAAGAATGCTCAAGGGGCTGGTGGTAATGATCTGCAAGGTGGGTCCGTGACGCAGGAGGTTACAGGGGCCCCAAATGTGTCAAATGCTGAGACTAGTAGGAAAGTGACTGCGGTCAGTGCAAAGAAGCAAACAAGGAAGGTTTCAAAAGAATTGGGAAAGTTGGATTTGAATGTGGAGTTTAGCAATGAGGTAGAGGAGCCTGCTCCGGGAATGACTGGAGGGAACAAGGCAGGCAACGGCGAGGAGGATGGCATGGAAGGGATTGGGTTTTTTGAAGGCCTTGATGAATTTTTGAGCAGTTTGCCCATACTTCATGTCGTGGGGGATGATAAGGTTAAGGCTGCCTAGTGAAGGAAGACTCTTTTTTATTGTTGTTCAGTAGTTGTTGTTTGCATGCATGTAGTAATGAATGTTGTAGAGTAACTGTCTGTTTTATTTGGCGTTTTTGTAGTAGTTTACTTAAATGTATATTTTGTAGCAACAAGTTTTTATCCATCTTTTGACCGTTTTAATTGGTTTATTATCTCCTTGGTAGGTTTAAGGCTGCATAGTGAAGGAAGTCTTTTTTATTGTTGTTTAGTAGTTGTTGGTTGCATGCATGTAGTAGTGAATGCTGTAGAGTAACTGTCCGTTTTCTTTAGTGTTTTTGTAGTAGTTAACTTAAATGTATATTTTGTAGCAACAATTTTTTGTCCATCTTTTTACCATTTTAATTGGCTTATTATCTCCTTGCTAAGTGGTCTTGTTTTGATAAGGATTGCTTTGAGTAATCCTTCCTGGCTTTGCTCCAACTTTTGCGGCAGCCACTCCATCCCTTTTTTAATTCATGCCAGCCCTACTTTGTAAAGGTATGGATTGGATGCAGCAATATTGACTTCAAATTATAGGTGGTCACCCCATTCCATTTTTAAAGTGCAATCCAGTTCAATATCAATCACGAAACCGCCTTGGTGAACATAAAAATAAATTGTGCATTCATATCTCTCTCTCTCTAACACAAATGCACACAGACACATTCTTGTGTCATGTGCTGGTGGGAAGTCTATTTGACGTCAAAGTGCCAGATGACTCTGCAAAGTGAGGATTAGCCAGTGAATTCGTTACACAAGATGCATATATACCGTGGCAGAGAGATTGTATCTTAGAGGATAGAATGCTATCAAGATGTTGCGTAGTTGCATGACTTGCATGGGTAAGTCATTCAATGTCATGGTTAACCAATTTTTATTTTTGTATGCTGATCTTTGTATTAATTACTGCTATTTTTGCTGTATTATATGCGCGTTGTTTTCTATATTTTGTTGATCTTCATATTAATTGATGTTATTGTTGCTGTACCATTTAATGTCATGGAAACATTTTGGCTTGAAAGTACGTAGGATCCTTTGTGAACCATATCAAAACTTCATAATTGTCTATTGAATTTGGTAGTAAGCATCACCACATTCCTAGGAGTGGTTGCTGGTATTAGATTTCTTAATGAAATTCATTGATATGGTGATGAGGTATCCATTGATATGGTGGGTGGTTCCCATAACTTTCATATTGTAAGGACATTGAGCCTCTTAAAGGATAATACTAAGGCATGGACCAAGGAAGTGTTTAAAAGGGTGGAGGTTAAAACTGTTAGGCTACTTGAGGATATCAAACACATTGATGAAAAGGAAGAAGAGAGGGCATCTTTGAAGAGGAGTAGTAGCCAGTAAACGACGCTAGATGCTTATATCCCATAGTAGAGAGAGTATCTTATAGGATAGAACAGGATCAAGATGTTGTGTAGCCGCACAACTTGCATGGGTAAGTCATTTAATGTCATGGTTAATCAATTTTATTTTTGTATGTTCTGTTGTTGACCTTCATATTAATTGATGTTATTGTTGCTGCATTCTTTGCACTTTGTTTTCTATATTTAGTTGATCTTCATATTAGTTGTTATTGTTGTATCATTTAATGTCATGGAAACACTTTTGCTTGAAAATACGCGAACCATGTTAAAACTTTTAATTGTTTATTGAATTTGGTAGCAAGCAATTAAAGGCACTCATCACACATTCCTAGGGGTGGTTCTTGCTGATATCAGATTCGTTAATGAAATTCGTTGATATGGTGATGAGATATTCTTTGATACAGTGGATGATTCCCATATCGTTTATATTGCCAGGAAATTGAACTTCTTAAATGAGAACATGAAGTTATGGGGGAGCGGGGGGCCTATAGAGGAGTTTAAGGTTGGGGGTGGGGGCTGAGGTTTCGGAGTGAGGAGCAAGGACCCCATATTTGTTCCTTGTTACTAAACAGTGGAATTCTTGTCCCCTCTTCCTGTACTTGTTCCCTTTTTATTTATTATTTATTTATTTATGTTATTTTATTTTATTTTATTTTTGCAGTTAAAAAAGAAAGAAAAGAAAGGAGAGGTGGGGAGGCTCATGATCTTTGAAGAATTAAGAGAGTCTCAAAAGGCCATGCTTCTTGACTTAAGGAGGTAAACATAAACACCAGATTTTTTCACATGATGGCAAATGCTAATAGAAAGAACCGACCATATAGGTAAGATGGTAAGGACTTGACTTGGGGAGGAGATGGTATCCAATAGCATTGTGGACTTTTACAAGAGGTTTTATTATGAGCCAGATGTTAGGAAATCTCATATTGATGGCATGGAGTTGAATTCCACCTAGAAGGAAGATAAGGGTTTGCTTTGAGAAGCCATTCTTTGAGGAGGAGGTGTTGGAGGCTTTGAAGAGCCTAAATGGGAATAAAGCTTTGGTCCTGTATAGGGTCTCCTTGGTTTTCTTTTAGGAGTGAGGAGTGTGGTGAGGGTTGTTTTGATGTAGATGATGCATTATTTCTATGATACTAGGGAGTTTGAGAGGAGCCTGAATGCCTCTTTCATTGCTTCAGTTCCAAGAAAGGAGGTGTGGTCAATATCATTGGTTATAGGTAAACTGGCTTGGTTGGCAGTATATGAAATTATTGCTAAAGTGTTGGCTTTGACGTTGAGGATGGTGATTAATAGATTATTGCAGAGTCCTGGAATGCCTTTGTGGAACGGAGGAAGGAAAATTTTCTGTGGATCTTGGTGGCAAATTAGTGTGTGGATGCTAGGCTAAAAAGCAACACTATGGATTTTATTTGCAATTTGGATATCTAGAAGGTTTATGATCACGTTTATTGGGACTTCCTAACATATTTAAAGGAGACGATGGGCTTTGGGCTGAGGTGGGGTAGATAAATCTATTTTGTATCTACTGTGTAGTTCTGGGTGATTGTGAATGGGGTAGCGCAAGTGTTTTTTTTTGGTTGCTATCACCAAGGGGTTGAGGCTGGGAGACCCAATCTCTCCACTTATCTTGGTCACATGATTTGGATGGCTGTTGCAGTGGATTAGCTGTTTGGATTTAAGGTCGATAGTAGAGGAGGTGAGAAGATTTTTGTGTCACACATACTAGCTAGTTGTTGATGACACTATCCTCTTTTGTGGAGTGGAAGAGGAGTTGAGAATTTCGAGATGTTTGTTGTGATTTGAGGCAATATCAGGCCTAAGGATCAATCTCGCAAAGAGCAAGAATATTCCAATAGAAGATGTTGGGGATGTGAATATTTTTGGTAGCTAATTTGCTGTCAACCTACTCCGGGCTCTTGTTGAGATCATCTTTGAAAAATAAAATGGTCTGGGATGTAGTAGTGGAAACATTTGAGATGAGGTTGGCCATGTGGAAAAGGAAGTAGACTCACTTTCATCAAGAACACGCTTTAATTTGTCAACATATTTCTTGTCTATCTTTATTATTCCTATCTCTGTAGTGAGAAAACTGGAGAATCTGATGAAAGACTTTTCAGGGGGGCTTAGAGAGGAATTCAAGTAATCACCTTGTTGAAAGTAGGAGGTTCATTTACTCTTGAAAGGGAGAGGCTTGTTGATTGACAACTTGGAGTTGTTTAATAAGAGACCTTTTAAGGGGATTTTCCAGACCTTTATTAGATAGTGGTCAATCCATATATTTCAGTGAGGAATTACCGGTAATTTAAAAATATTTTTCAACTGTAATAGGTTTGGCAAGTACTAAATGAAATTTTGGTAGAATTCATGGTAATGCATTGTAGTGAATGGAATTATCAAAGTGACGGGCATAACAACACTGTAACGGCGCTTGTGTAACGTGCATAACGGGTAACTGTTCATTATGATGTTGCTATGCTAACTGTTAGCCATCACACTTATTCAAACAATAGAAGAATCCTTTCTTTAGTGCTTTAACTTGTTTTCTGAGTTCCTTTGCCACAAAACTCATTGTAAACTTTTGAAGAACGTGAGAGAATCTTACATCTACAAGATTTGAAGTATAAATCTATAGCTTGGGGCTCTTCATCTTTAACCCAAAATTTCCAAACAAGTTAAGTTTGTTTGTTTGTTTTTGGATTTTTTCATTAATTTTTTCACTTGAATGTAGGTAGATTTAACAGTGTAAGCTGGGTTTACTTGGTTTTAGGCTTGATTTGTTAAAGAAAGGTTGGATAATGGATTCTATACTCATTTAGGCCTAGTTTGGCATAATACAAAAAAGTCAAAAAGTCACTATCCTATTTAAGTCACATCATCTCATTTAAATCACATCATCTCTCTACCACATCACTTCAAACACAACCCATATTTCATGTTTTTTCGTAAAAAGTCAAAAAATGTACTTATTTAGATCATCTCAAACAACCCCTAACTCTTCTTAGGCCCTCATTCTGGAAATCAATCAATTAAGTAAATATTAAGGTAATTCTTTAGTTGCTTTTATTTTTCTTTAGCATATGAAAATATAGAATATCACAATCTCACGATGGATGACAACTTTGGAAACTATTTTGATGATGGACAATCTCAGGAGGGGGTGCAAATTTCTTTTAGATTGGTGCTACATGTGCATGTATGCAAGGGAAAGCGTCAATCTTCTTTTGCTTCATTATTAGTGGCTAGAGAGTTGTGGAGTATGTTGTTCTCGGTTGTTTGAAGTTGAGTGGGTGATGCATTGGTCAGTTAGGAATCCTTTTGGATCCTGGAGTAGGGGTTATCTGAAGTTACAAAAAGGCTTAGGAGGTAGTCCTTTTTGATGCGGTGCTTTTAGTGAGAGGAATAGGCAACTGTTGAAGATGTAGAGAACCTGATTGTTGATTGAAGTGTATGGAGCTTGTCTCCATCTATTTTGGAATTGGCTTAGGGCAACTTTTCCTTTTTCATTAATTTCTTTTGTTTATTTTTTTGGGGGAATTGTATAATATATCCATGCTGCATACTACCTGGCGCTTGGATGTCTGACTTGGTGCCTTCTCTCCATCAGCTGCATCAATCAATGTTAAGTCGGGCAGTTGAGACTACGAGAGCTAACCTCTAGCAATGAGGTTACCTCTCTTTTCTAACAAGCCGGAATAAGGCACCGAGGCGAAAGCAACTCTCTCAGAAGTCACTTTTCCCTCCATTTTAGTGGGACTAGTGTAATAAACTGTCACTTGAACTACCACGACTTGGTTTTTTTTATTCCTTGTATATGCATAGGTGGATCATTCATTTTGTGTTATTGCATATGCTCATGTACAGGGTTGTGCCGCATTTTGTTGACCCCATTTAATGAGAAAGTTATCAAAAAATTATAAAATAAGCATTCACGGAGTCCCTTTTTTTTTTTTTAAATAGTAAATTCACGAAGT